TTACAATTTATATTGGCAAGTGCAGAGGCAAATACATGAGGCTTGTAAATTGGTAATACCAGATATGCTACACAACATCCAAAACAAAACTCCTAATCAGCTATACCTTTGTATTTCCACTGAAGATAGCTTTATTTTGCTATAGTTTATGTTCAAAACAACCAACTGTTTTTGTATTAATTTATGCATCTTTATAATCAGATTCATTGTATGTTATGCTAAATCTTCTTAAAATGATTCCTTTCTCTTTGCACTCAGGAGAGATAGAAAAATGTACATGCTGCAGAACTGCCTTGCCATTTACACATATACCACTTTTTAAACAAATTAATTTATTTTACTGTATATATCACAGTGGAACTAATACACAATGCTGGAAAGATCTCTCTTGCATCTGGATAAACAATAACATGAGCACCCTGTATACAGGTAGATAGATTATGCTATATTGAATAAAAATACCTTAGTAAACATAGGTCATAACTGTTTCTGAGAGAGTTTGTAACTCTGTTTGAAGATGCTAAGTGTGGAACATCTTATGTAAATATCAAGGTAAAGATCTGGCAAGATTAATTATCCTCTCTTCATTTTGCATGTGATATGAATAAACCATAATAAGTCGATATAATACTGGCATACAAGACTGCTAGGTAAAAAAACTCAACTGTTTGAGATGATATGTTTACTCATTAGTGTGTAATTCACGATAAAAGTGCTGAATGCTTTCTTTAGCATCTTCTATAACATGACAGTATGATATACATTTGATAAATGTAACGTTACAAATAACCATTGATAATTTACAATAAGTATAAGTACATCTATATTTTAGTTCTTAGAGCTTACAAAAAATAATATACAGATATTCCTCACTAACTACAGGGGTTACATTCCAAACAGTGATGTAGTTAGCAAAACCATAGTTGCTGAAACAAACATTATGAGCAATAAGGGATTAGTGGAAGAGGAATAATCATGTATAATTTAAAAAAAAGTTTTTTTAAATTTTACATCAAAAATACGTAAATAAAAATATAATTTAAAAACCCTAAAACTGTTTCAAACTGATTAGAAACATTTCTTTATAAAGAAAAGTAAAATAAACAGATAGTCAATTTTTACTTTTTTTTAAAGGCATCAATGTTTGTTTAAAGTTAACACTCACTTTGTGTCATATTTTGTTCCAGTTTGAAGTTCAAACTACAAGTAATGACTAGATCAATATAGGCATATGATATTAGTAATAGAGATGAAAACAATAATGCCATTTTTAGCATTTAATAACAAATAACTTTTTATATAATTAAAGGATTAATTTTTGTTTTGTATTGGTAATCAAAATATTAAATAATATTACAGTACTTAAGAATTGAGTTTAAAAACTTTTCAGAATACTTAATAGAAATCTCATTATTTCAAATAGTGGTTAGAAAAATTAAAGTTGATTGGGATGGTTTGATGGGATAAAACAATTGTTGGCAAGTGGTTTCTCACCTCATGGACAACTAAAGTCACAATTTTGAATCCCACGGACCATTATCATGAATTTTTTTAAACGATACAAAATTTGTAGAATAATGATCATAAAAGTTCAGTTTTACTATATTAATATGAAATTCGCATGTTTAATTATAACAAATTAATGCAAGCCTAAAGTTCATTGCTGCTTGTTTGAAACAAGTTTATGGATTCTTTGCGCTTTTATACGAAGGACTACAATCGCACTCACAATAATGTTTATTGTTCATTATTTATTGATAACAGTCACTTCGTTTTTGGTTTTAGATTCAAATAAAAAACCCCAATGAGTGAAAAAAAAAAAACTAAGCATTTTGCATTTCTTTCGTAATACTTCGCGTAACCTTCGGTTGATCAATGTTCAAATTTCTCCACGGACCACCCAAATTTTCTTGCAGACCACCGGTTGCCAACTGTTGGGATAAAACACAACATAAGGACAATTTGCCAAGAGGATATAATATTACAGGAGAATTTTCTTTGAGAAACTGGCCCCTGTTTAGACATTAGACACAAAGAAAATGCCATATGTTCAGCATCAATTGCAATTATTCAATGGTTTTATCCACTTAAGCACTGCTGGGTTCAAATTTACAGTTGATAATGAATGTGTGTGTTGATTAAATAAAACTGATTTTATTAATTAATGGAATGGATATGCATTTT